GTTCTTTCTCCTCATTCGACCCGCTCCCAGTCTTCTTGTTTTCTTTCACTCTCTGTAGCCTTCTGTGTTTTAATGGCATTATCTCCTTGCTTGGGGTGAAATGAAGTGTTAAGTTTTGAAAGAAAACTGATGTATCGGAAGGTTTTCTATACGACAGTCAGTGAGTATAGAATACAAGAATTCTTAAGTTTTTGGAGGATTTCATTATTTTTGCATTCTTCAGAACAAGAAAGAAATCCATCTTGTCTTGATGGAATGTGAGGTGTGACAAAGTGTGTGGACATTGCACTGATTTTTACAGACTGTCTTCCGCAGAGAGGTTTATTGTGACAGATTAAAGACAAAAGCCTTACGCTTTAATTAGAATTCGGCAGAGTGAAATGCGAGACAGACCATTAAAATATTGACACATTCTCATATCAGATGATTCTTCATCAGTTCACCGGAAGTACGATTTTGATGATTACATAAGCAAGAACTATATTAAATCACCTGCAGTTCACTACCTAATATAAATTTTCTATTGCGAGGAACAAGGTCGAACCTTTTACCTTCAATGTTTAGGAAGCGCTTGGTAAAGACATAATAAGAATAGTTCTCAATAGGGACATTTTTTTCAATATTCATTGCCAGAAGTTTAAAGCAACCAATTCTATTTGTATATATTATCTAGCTTGCTGGCATATATCGCAAAAAATAAATAAGCAAAAATGACGAAAGAATCGCTCATGGCAAAACACAATTTTCATATCCAACCGTTTGACAAAAACGAAACATATTCGGGTTATTTTAGATTGTGAACAAAGGGAAAATAGTGTCCATAAATGTTTTTTTTATAATCAAATTTACTCCAAGCAAGGCAGTAAAGTCACTAAGACACAAAGGGTTACTGGGTTTGAAAGAATTAGAAAACATAAAACATTATGAAGGAGCGAGAACAATAGAAGTGTAATAAGGAAGACGGTAGATAACGATTGACATAGGGGTTAAATTTTTCAAGATCAAAATTTCTGCAATTTACATGGAGACTATTGTCTTCATCTTTGTAGGAGAATTTTATGTGTAGACAAATTCGCCGACTACAATCAAGTTACCTCTTTTATGAAACCTAATTTGCATAGCGCAACGCGAATGTTGTTCAGAATTTACATATCATTCGACACTCATACTGACAACGAGAGTTAAGTAAGGCATGCGCGTCATTTTTATTTTGGACAGGTCAACACACGGAGCGTTGTTTATTCAGGTAGTATTCTTTTTCTGGGTGGCTTTTACGCTTTTTCTCCTTCCTTGAAAAATGGCGCACATAACGCGAGTTCATTTTTCGTTGACGTTAACTTTATGCGTTCAATACATTTTTGTTATTTTCACAACGTTTCGAGCGCTGTTCCCTATGGGCTTCATCTGATTCTTGTCGATCCAATTAATCTTCACGGATTTCGAACTGAACTCTTATCTACGGTGGTAGATTGACATTTTTTTGATCATTTCTACAGATAATTCGTCTAGTAGGATCAGCTGAAAAGTCCATAGGCTGACTAAATAAATGTTAGACGACGCATAAGGGATCGACAGGGTCTTCGCTCACAACTGTTGAAACGTTTTGATAACAACAATAAAGATAGGGACAATAGTTCACATATAATTATTATTGTTAATATCTTCTGCCAGAAGCTTCGACAGTAAAAACATTTGCTATCATTTTAGAAGCAGACTAAAAACCTAATGTTACATTACACGTGGCTCTTGATTAAACTGTATCAAGGGTTGGCATAAGATTTCTTGCCACTAAGGCAATATTTAGTTATTTGTATATAGACTTATTCAACACTATGTGCCATTTTGTTTCGTTATCATTCGCCATATTTGATGTAGCAACAATTCTTCATCCTCTCAGAACTAGGCATCTTTCTGGTTGATGAAATTGCGTAAGTGATTTTTATAGGATTCCAGGTAATTAAAATTCTTTGCTTTAAAGTAGTTTTATAGGGACTTAAATATGTGGTAATCCGAAGCTGAAATATTAGGAGAATTTGATGCGTTTTGTAGGACATCCAAGCCCATTTGTACAAATTTCTGTCGGGTAAGCAAAATGAAGTGAGGTCTGGTAGATGAGGACACCCTTCCAATTAGGCAATTCCGAACAATTTCATTGATTGCTGCCATATCACAGAAATTCAAGAACAGGTAATCGCTTATTGGAAAAGGAATAGACATGTACCCGTTTTGCACTAAATTCAAAAAGGGAGACATAGATCCGGTTTGAAAGTGAAGACGTATATCTAGATTCGATTGACTGATTTGTTTGTTTAACGGCACATCAATATCTTTATGGGTCATTTAATGCTGAAATTTAATTTTCAGCATTAAATGACCCATAAAGATGTTGAGCTTTGGATTAATAAAATTTTTTTTTTCTGTTTTCATAATTGAATACATGATGGATGATGCAAAGCTTTTGTGCATGTTTGTTGGTTGATTGATTTTGTTTTGCGCCAATCTAAATATTTCGTACGTAATATTATATTTCGAGGATAAAAGGTATGATTTTTAGATATATATTTTGTAGATCATAAAATCTATTGCCGTTAATTCTACTACAAAATCTATTGTCGTTATTTTTCCTATAAAACGCATTGCTGATAATTGTACTGTAAAATGTATTGTTGTTTTATAAATATATTGCTGGTAATTTTACTTTAAATATGTATTGTTGGTGATTTTGCTATAAAAATGTACTGATTATTTTTGAGAGGTGTGTATTTGGTGTTACAGTAGGACCCTGGCAGATGACACAGTACACGAAAAAAATAAAAAAACCTTCTACAGAAGGTAGCGACGGAGAGTGAGAAGAAAGGACTAAACACAAACTACATGAAGACAGATTAGCATGGTCGTCAGTAGAAGGATGAGCCTGAGATGCGATTTGAAGGTTTGGGAACACTAGAATTAAGTAGATGCAGAAGTTTAAATATCTGGGAAGCGTTTTGACAGGGGACGGTAAGTGCGACAGTGAGACCCGTAGACGTATCGGCATGGCCAAGGACACAGGAGGATTTGTTTGGTAACAAAGAAAAGAATACTGAGCTGTTACGTGACATCTGTTCTTCTTTAAGGCAGGAAATGTTGGACGATTTCCTTAAAGATGAAGAAAAGACTCGATGCGACAGCGATGTGGTTCTACAGAATGATGCTAAGGATATCATGGACCTAGGGTGTGAGCAACGATGAGGTCTTAGTGAGTTTGCAAACAAGGAAGAGGCTTATACTTAATATCAGGAAGAAGCAACTGAAGTTTCCAGGACACACAATGAGGAAGGAGTGCCTGGAGAATCTGATACTCACGGGTCGAATAGAGGGAAAGAGAGACAAGGGAAAACAACGCGTGACATACCTGGCGGACTTAAGCAAGTGGTTGACAGAACGTGGTCTGGAGGAGGAAGCAGGGGGAAGTAACCTGTTGAGGGCTTCAAGGAGTAGAACGAGGTGGAGAGTCATGATCGCCTACGCCCTGAAAGACATGGCACATAAAAAGGGTGGGGCTCTAACCGGTGTTACCAGACCTTGTAAGGATGGAACTGGGAATAACAGTAAATATGTGGTTCCACACTCCTCAAAACTTCCTGATCTGAGGTCTTGCTGCTGGATGTAGTTTATCGTCATACCCAGGACGATACATGGATTAGTCCTCTCTTGCTACATGTATATGATTCCATTAATAAAAACACATTATTTACTCTGAAGAAATCAATTAAAAGAACGAAACACATTCTATGGGATTCTTTTTCATTTTGTCATTCAATTATGCACGATTACTCTGATATATAGAAATAGTTCTGAGTATGATGATAAACTACATCCGGTAGCAAGGCCTCTGATCGGGAGATTGGATGATTTGAGCATCGTGGAACCGCCTCTTAATTACTGTTGTTCACAGGTCCATCTTGAACAGGGGTAGTGCCACCTGTTAGGTTCTTAACTATGGGTAAATTATAAACCCCCAAATAAAACAATATCGAAGCGTAAAAATATATTTCATAGTAAAAATACCATTAATACATTTTTAATATAAAAAAATAACAACAATGCTTATTTATAGTGAAATGACTAAGAGCATATTTTTACATTAAAATGACCAACAATACATTTTACCTTTAGTTGAAGGCATACAATTGCGTTCAAAATATATTGAAGCTATAACATTTTCAAATTATTTAGATTTCGCCATTAAGTAAACCATAGAGATTGATATGTCGCTAAAGAAAATCAACAAGCAAACCAATATATAGAATTTACATATCTTAAGAAATATTCTATATATATGGCACCACAGTTTCTGACAATTTTAGCAATGCTAATCTAGATGGGCATAACTGAATAGTGAGTTCAATCCTCAATTGGTACTACATATAAAATTCGGCATTACGTAACACAAGGTTTGATATCTTGTTAAATCAATCAACCCTGGGGTCAAACAACTTTGGTAATAAAAAAAATGTATATTCATGCCATCGGAAAAGATCCTGGAAGAATTATTGATTCACTGTATCGCTCTAGAAAATACCAAACAACCATCGCTATGCTCGATCTTTATAAGCCTCAGAATAAGCTAAGAATGGAGTTTTGCTGCCATATCTGATGTTGCCTAATTCTCTCTGTCCATCTTCGACAGAATTTAATAGCACCTATTCACAAATTATTCATAATTTTAGAATCGTACACGCTGACTCAACAACTCAATACGGCCATTCTAACCTGTAATTCTACTAAAGGGACTCAAACTTTGTAGAGGCACAAAACGAAATGATTTACTGATACAAACCACTGCGGAGTTAGGACATTCATTAGATTATCATTTCGATCGTTTCCGTGTTTTTGTGTGAATCTTAGAAATGATCGATACTTGTGAGACTTGGACTTGACCGATTTGTTTAAATTGTCCGTGGATTTTGTGGTAGCCATCACCCCACTCACAGGTGATGAATATTGTCAGTTGGAAA